GAGGGCCGCCCGCGATGGGAGAGGCGGGCGGAACTTTGGAGATGCCTGGTCCAGTTTTCTTTTTCGGGGATGACGGGGCACTCTGATGAAGGCTCTTCTTCCAGAAGCATGAATTTATTCTCTCAAATTTGCACCTTGAATGCGATCCATGATCAAGAGCCATATTAATTCGAGAGTGGCCTCTTCTCCCCAAACTGAACAAGCCTAGAGGGCAAGGCCACTTGGGGGCACTAACCTGGCCAGTGAAGATCTTCGTTCTTCTCATTTTTCTTTGCATCCTGATATTTCACTGTGTAGGCTATGACGTGAAATAGCGAGGTTGGTTGAGTTGCTTTCATGCCTCGCTGATTTCAGAGCTCTGAGGGGAGTAGTACTTTTTTCTTTCCCCTGTAAAGTCGGCCTGGCCTTATGGCCCACCTGCAGGGACCTCCAGCTCTGGAGACTTTCAGATCTCAGCTCGAATTCTGGATTCTTTAGCTCTTAGCTCTGTGACCCTGGACGAGTTTCCTAACTTGCTGAGCCTTGGTTTTTCTCATCTGTGAAAATAAGACTAAGAATTACATGACATAGTGAATACAAAGTGATTAGTCATTGGGTCTAGAATATAAGTTATTATTATTAAAACCTGTGATCATTATTGATCCCTGTAATTTTAAAAATATTTACATGTGTCCTACCTGAGCTTAGGGTTGAGGAGCAGTTTATAGGACAGAAAACTGAATTTGTTTAGTTTTGTGGTTATAATGCTGCTAATACTGAAATTCCCATTTTCTTCGAAATTGGTTGCCTTTTCCTCTATACTACATATTCTTTTCAATCTTTATTTGTTCAAGACTAATTAGGTAGAGGGGAACCATTAACAAGAAGACCCAAATTTCTGAATGGATTGTCGCAAAAGTCTACAATTTGAGGAACAGCTTTCCATAGAAGCACTGTTCCAAAATAAGTGAGTTTTTTTAGTAGATAAAAATTGTCTTAACTCATAGTAGGATGAAAATATTCTAGATCTGCAATAAATACAGTAATAAATAATATACAAAAAAGTCAATAAATATTTATGAAGTGCACTAGGCACTGTTAGATGTGGCACTGGGGTTTTAGTTATGGGCTCTGCCCTGAAGGGATTCATAATATCAATATAGTTTATTAAGAAAAATTTTAAAACACTAAAAAATTCTACTTGAACGTTGGCTGAGAAAAAACAGTCTTGAGTATCTTGGAGCATATGATATAGCCCCTTTGGAATGGGGAGTCTTGGGCCTTAATTATGGCTCTGCATTAACTTGTGTGCTGTTGGGCAAGTGATTGCTTCATGTCTTCCGAAGCCAATTTCTTTAGCTGTAAAATAAAGCGATTGACCTAACAGCGATCTTTAAGTTCCTTCTTACTGCGGACATTCCTTGGAGGCATTGGATGAATAATAGTTACTCTTAGCTTTCGGTATTGGGGCAGAGCCTCTGTTAGGGCATTTCTGAGGCTATATTGGCTTCTCGCTGTCATTTGTTTTTCTATTTACAAGTTATTTTCAGACTCATTTTTCTGTAACTAGAATACCACAAATAAGTGTTTCACTGAGTTGGGATAAATGACAGAAAAGAAGAAAAAAGGTTTTTACTGAGGTAAATGGGCAAGAATTGGAAGAAAGGAGAACGTGATATGGGGTAGAGGCCAGGTGGTAAGACAGAATTGGAAGGTATTGCCGGGTCAAACAATTCCTGAACTAAACGCCAGATGGCGTCGTTGGCCCGGGACTGCTCGCTACTTGCTGGAAGGGTGGGCCAAAGTGAAAGGAAACCTCTTTAGGGTCGGAGGAGGAGGTAAGGGGGAAACAACAAACAGCTGAACAGTTTGCTCTTTGTAAAGATGGTCACAAATTGGATCTTTTAAACTCTGGCAGTGTCTCTGTGCATGGTAGACAGCAGTTCTCCCACTTCAAAGAACATGAGTATAGCTAGCGCTGGTTGGCCGGAAAGCGTTATTTAGCATTATCACGGTGGAATCACTTCCCACATTTCGAGAGATATCCCAGGTCTCTGAAGTACTAGTGCAGTTGGGAGGTAGACGAGTTCTGAGTTTCGTTTCTGTAAATGGTTTGTCTTTACCACCATTCAGAGAATTAGAATAAATGATAGATGCAGTACTGTTTTTCCTTTTAATAGGTGTGGAACTTTGTAGAAATAGTACTGAAGCGAGACAGGGTGGTAGAGGGGAAAGAGCGTCCCGGCAGGAGTCATCAGGCCTCCTGGCCGTGTTACTAACGTTTTGTGTGGCCTTAAGTGAGTAATTTAACCTCTCTGTGCCTCATTTTATTAAACCATGGAAAGAGGAAATTGGACTCCGTGGTCGTATTTCAAACTATATAGTCGATCACAAGCATCCCGTGGTATGTTACTAGGTTTTCTTTAAACAAAGGGCTTCATGTTTAATAAATTAGCAAAATTTTTATCACCCATTTTTATCACCTTGGGGAGTCACAATGTACATATTAAAGTTCTTGGAAATTCTTGTATAAAATAACTTGTCCCAGATTTTTGAGCCCCAGAGCCTGTTTCCCAGAACACTTGTTGACATCTTAGTAACTCCAGAGTTTCATGGAATTCTATTTGGGAAGTGGTGGGTTCTAGACTCATAGTCAGAACACTCAGATTGTAGGCCTGGCTTGACTGTCTCAGGCATCCCTTAGCTCAATTTCCCCATCCGTAAAATGGAGATAGCACTGATAATTTTACAGAATTGCTGTGGCAGTTAAATGAGACCACGTGTGTAAAGACTATCAGTGTCTCATGTACAGCACATGGTTAATATTTAATATACATTATTTCTTTCTTCCTTTTGACTTTGACATAAGACCAGGATTCTTATTGTTATGTTTTGTGAAAGGTGAAGACAATGGGAAGTGGATAGAATTACACATTTTGAGTATGTCCCAAAGACAGCTGCATACCAATATTCTTTTGGTAGTCTACATGTTTTGGTTTTGTTGATAACTTGAAAATTCATTATTTTAGATTTTTTAACTTTTCTGAAAGGATGAGGAGAAGCTACACTTTCTGTAGTTTGGATTTTTGTTACTGTGGAGTAGACAACTGGTTCACTTAGAGAAACAGTGCTACAGATAATTCAGGTTGCTTTTATTTAGCATGAGAATGAATCATGTAGTTCTTTAACAATGAATTTGTTCTGTCATTTATATCAAACCTACGCTTATGTTGAAATGTCTTTTTAAAGTACGTCATTTGAATAGTAGGAGGAATCTGTCATTGAGTGTACCATACATTGGACTTAATAAAACTTCCTGTGAGTAATGCACAAAACATTGTTTGAGTCTTAAATACATGGGTTCCTATGACTTTTTTTTTAAGTTGGTCCATATCATAGAACTTGAATCAACAGAGTAGGACATAATAGTTACTGCGCAGATAGAGAAACATTAGTTATATTTTTTGGTTTTCGTTGTTGCTGCAGATTCCCGTAAGGATCTCTATAAGTAGTTTTAGTAATAATACGTAATAGTATGTTGGTACTTGGCGTACCTGTAGCTATTCGGTGTATATAATAGATATATAACCAGACAAAGGTTTTGCAATCACATTCAATTTTCTCACTCAATAATACAAGTAGCAAACTTTCCTTCTGATACAACTTGCTGTTATAAGAGAAAAACACATGGATAACATACAGAGTGCTAGAATGAGATCTCATTTCGGTCCAGGTGAAGGGGAGGTTTTGACACTGGCAATACCCGTGTGTATTGGTGGGGCTGCCAGAGGGCATTAGCCATGCCTAGTAGGCGTGTAGTCTGATTTTTGACGAAGTGAAATACAAAGACGAGATGGCAGGATGACAAGTGCTTACCTTGGCTCCTTCCTAGTAAATACCCTATTACAGTGATAGTAGGTGAATAAAAAAAGGATAACACTAGAACAACAAACAAGGAGGATCCCTCAGAGCTGGGTATTTCAGAATGTTTATAAAAGAAGGAAAACAGGTGGAAGTGTGGGTGTTGATGGAGCAGCACGAGGAGCTGCACGTGCTGAGGGGACGCGGTTTAGGGAGCTCTGAACTGCTCTGTGCAACCTCCGAGACCTGTCGACATCAGGTGGGAGAGAGTGACGTGGGGTTAACACAGGGAGGTCGTTTTGGTCTGGGGCCTGGCGCAGGCCTGGGGCCTGGCGGATGGCTGATTCCTCCCGTAGAAATCGAAGAAAGTGTTTGGAGGGCGTTCGGAGGACCTGAGAGTGTGGCCGGCCCCGCCAAGCTCTGTGCACGCTGGCATTTAGGGGACGCCCGGTGGAGCTTCTCTCCCAGACACCTCCCTGGGTAGCGGGCCCTTCAACAAGCCTCTCTGCGTGCACATCAGCCTTTTCTCGTCTTATTCTTAAATTTAGACCAAATTGTGAGGGATCCCCTTCAGCCAGGTTTTCATCGCTGCTACTCTGTCTACCAGACTGCCTTGTCAGAAGGTGACATCCGTGTGGCAAACGGAATGATCAACTGTAACTTCTCATCTCGTGTGGATTCTCAATAGTATTTTTCACAGTCGAGTCCGCTCTCTTCCTTGAAACTTTCTTTTTCTTTTTCCATCTGGAACAACGCTCTCTTTTATCTTACTTTGATGGCGTCTCCTTCAGCAGTCTCCCTCGCTGGATCCTCTGATCTGAACTCTAACCTTTGAAATGGCCCCGGACTCAGTACTCGGCTCACTTCCTATCTGTTCTGCCCCCAGGTCAGGGGTTGGCAGGCCCTTTCTGTCCAGGGCTGGGTAGTAAATAGTTCAGGCTTTACAGACCCTGTCGTCTCTACCACAACTTCTGTACTCTCTGTCACAGTTACCTAACCTGTATTGTAGGGCAGAAGCCACCAGACAAGAAAGGCATCGGTGTGGCTATGTTCCAACAGAACTTTATTTACAAAAATAACAGCAGGCCATCCTGGATTTGGCCCATGGGCCAGAGTTGGCTGTCTTACTGCTTCTGCTCTAGATGATCACACCCGGTCCCATAGCTCAAGATACCATCTCTGCTTCCCAGATTTGTAACGTTGGCCTGAGTCTCGTCTTCCACGTCCAGGAGGTGTACTCTGTACTTCCACAGAAACGTCTAAGGCGTATTTCAAGGTTAACATGTAAAGAACAGAGCTCGTGAGCCCCCAGCCTCCGCCCAACTATCCCTGTCTGTCTTCACACCTAACTTAACACAGCTCATTGTTGTGGCCCCTCTTCCTCTTACCCCACATCTACTTTGTGTCTCTCCCTTCAGTCCAGCTTTTGAAATGTATCCAGAAGACAGTTACTTCTCTCCACCCCCACCCTCGTCACTAGATCCATGTCACCGTCACCTCTCACTTGACTAATTAATTGCAGGAGCCTTCTGATTCTTCACCCTGCCTCCCCCAACCCCCTCTGAAGTCTGCTTTCCACGTGAGAGTCATCTTGATTCTTGAAAAATTGAGGTCTGATCATGTCCAGGTGCTGCTAACAGAACCCAAGGTCCCGTGTGACCTAGTACCGGTCACCTAATTCTCTGAATGTGTGCTTACCCCTCTTCCTTCTCATCGTTGTGCTCCCGCCATCCTGGCCTCCGTGCGGTTTCTCTAACGTGCCGTGCTCATTCTCACCTCAGCACCTCTGCACTTGCCCTCCCTGCCACATTCCTCCCTGGAGTCTCCTTGACCCACTTCCTCACTTCATTCATGCCTGTGCTGAAATGCTACCTACCAGAGAGATCTTCCCTGACATTTCAATGTAAAATGTTGTCTCCTTCCATTATTCACTCTTTTCTTGCCCTGGACTTGATGTGGTTAAAAACATACTCATATTCATTGCTTCTATGCACCCCTCCCACCAGAATATAAGTTCCATAAAAGCAAGCAATTTTTATACTTAGTACCTAAAACAGTGCCTGGTGTAGTACATGTGGTCAGAAAATATTTACTGAATGAGTGAATTTAAGGAAACCTTGTAAACTAACATTAGGGAAAAAAAGGAAGTAGACAGAGGAGAACTTGAATTTTTCAGAGTCAAATGGGTGTCTTCTGAGATTTCAGAAGCTTTGGCACCCATTGAGAAAGAAGAGGAGGCTATGAAGAAAAGGCATTCGAAGAACAAGAACTCTTGGAAATTAACATCTGAGTGTTAAGACAAAGAAGTCAGTAAGTGTGGTCAGTAAGAATGGTGTTCTGTTGTTTTAAGCCACCAAGTGTGTGATCATTTGTTGTGGCAGTCCTAGAAAACTAATACAGAAAAGTTAGAATATATGGTAAAGAAGTCAATCAAAACGTAGGACAAAATGTCAAAGAGACAGAAAAAAGAGATAGAAAGAAGAGACACACAGGTTAATCTAGGAAGTCTAACATTTGGCTAATATGAGTTCCAGAATGAAAAACAGACAAAATGAAGAATTTTCAAAGGAATAATAGAAGAAATCCAAGAATTTAAGTACCCAAGTGTTCTGAGACCCAGACACTTTACTGTGAAATCTCAGGAAACTGAGGCTTTTACAAAGAAGATCCTGAAAGTTCTGGGGTTGGGGGCAGGGGAGGGAGGGAGGGAAAACAGGTCACCTCCAAAGGACTGAGAATCAAACTGGTATCTCATGCCTTTGAAATTCTGAGAAGATAATTTTCCTCCTAGAATTTACTCAGGCATCCAGTAATCTAAGGTGAGGACTGAATCAAGACGTTTCAGACATTTAAGGACTTGGGAAATTTACCTGCCATGCAACCTTTCTTACACACAAGTTAGGGATTCACTACTGCAGAACAAGTAAGTAAACCAAAAAAGGTGAATGCGTGGGATCCGGAAAACAGATCTAAGCTGGAGATCAAAGAAGCAGAGTCTTTGGGTGCCAAGAGAGCATCCAATCCAGACTGCAGCAGGAAGAATGAGATTTCCAAAGGGAGATATTTGGGTAAAGAGAGCATTCCATAGTTTTAATGGAATCTGTGAGGTGTTTGAATAATTTATAGATATAATTATGACTGACAATGGAAGGAGGAAAATTGGAAACACAAGTTAAAATAGACACTGAACAGGAAAGAAAATTTACTTATAACATTCTGCTTGGCCAAAAATCAACACATAGGTAATACTTCTTAACCTTGCCTGACTATAAGAATTATTGGGGAGAGGGTGCTATTAATATAGATACCCAGATTTCTCTCACAATTTTGATTAGCTGGATATGGGGGTCCAGAGATCTGTTTAACAAGCAGTCCAGGTTTTTCTTATTTTTAGGAAATACACTAACAGGAAAAGCACAGAAAACTTAGTGTGATTATAGAACATCTTAGCCTTGAAATGAAAAAATAAAAGTGCAGAAAATAAAAATTAGGAGAGAGAAGAATAAGGACTAGAGAAATAAAAGGCCAGTTAGTCAAATCAAGAAATACTGCATCTTTTTGGTGGAACAAGGAATAAAGCTTTAGTATTAAGACTGGCCAACAGAGAATTTAAGAGGCATAGGTTGGGGTCAGACTTACCTCTCAGACTTGGGATCAGCAGATAATATTCTAAAACTATGAATTAAAAACCAACCATATATTATTTAGAGAAATGAAGACAGCGTCTGGACCTAAAGTAAAAGAGGTGAGATTGGGTTGCTCTGAGAGTGGAACTGAATTGGAGAAAAGTGAGGACTTTTTTTTTTAACCATGCATGTGCATTGCTTGGTTTAAACAACAACAAAATAGATATTTTAAAAAAGTAAATTGGTAACAACTTGGTTTAACCCTAAAGAAACAACCAGTCTGAGCTACAGATAATGAAGTTCTAACCTAAGATTTATCACTAATTTACTCTGAGACTCTGAGAAAGGGCTGTTTCTAACGAGTACTTCAGTTCAGTCTTTAACGAGTGGCAAACATTGCCGCAGTGCTTGATGCACGTGCCGTGCCTCTCACCCGCGGCTCATAGGTATCATATAGATTACCTGTTTCATTTTAAAGGGGATCAGGATAGGTAGCACAGACCTACCTGCTGTCCGAAAGGGGAGCATTCCTACGAAATCTTTCATAAGCCGTAATGGCGTAAAGCGAAGAAGCCGTGCCTTAGGACACATCTTGCTAACGGATGCACAAAATAAATTGAGGGAAACACAGATGCTCACAGACCCAGTTTAGAGCTATGGCAGCTTGATGCTGAGATGAGGAGCGTAGCTCCTGGCAAAGAGCTGGGCAGGGCCGCAATCACTGCTTAGGGGTGCGCACTGCCTCTGTAGCAGCTGCTAAAAAACAAACTGTTAATGCTGTTTTCGATTTTTGCCTTTTTTTGTAAAAGCGAAAATCGTCTTCGGATTTCTTAACGAAAACAGGTACTAATGTAAGTCTTTTGTAAAAGTGAAGTGGCATCAAGCACACTTTCAAAAAGCAGGGGATACCTGGGCCTGTCTTGAAACCTGCCTTTAGAGGCCCGTGGCACCCTTTACATCGAGCCTGACCGCATACTTATAGAACTGACTCTAGAATCTGAACTTCTAATGGATTCCTGTTCTTCCTTTGGGCTTTGGGTCGAAGATTAGCGCTCTGATTGTGCCAAGAGGACTCCTTTGTCTTTAAACTGACTGGGTGACGCTGATGCGGAAGATGTGGAGCGCGTGCCCTGCCTTACCCAGCTGTGGGCATAGCTCGCTTTTTAGCGCTTTTGCATTCCAGCACCTAGTACATTGCCCTTTACATACGAAATTGTATATTGCTTGACTGAAGGAAATTGAGAGAGTTAAGTTCCGGAGACACTGAGTGACTTTTTCAAGCTCAGTCAATAACTACAGGTCATTCTCTTGGCCCCTGTTTTTATTGTTCCTGTGCAAGTGTGTTGGTATATTACCCATCAAAGCATTATAACTATCAGAGATCTAAGGCCCTATTTTATTTTTATTTTTTCCAGAAATTATTCTTACTTTCTTATTATGTTTTTGCTTAAAACATTTCATGATCCTGGGGGAGAGGGATATAGCTCAGTGGTAGAGCATGTGCTTAGCATGCACAAGGTCCTGGGTTCGATCCCCAGTATTTCCATTAAGTGAAAAAAGAAGTTAAAATACGTAAATAAACTATCTCATGGTCCAAATGGCTTCTAGTGGGTACGGTTATCTGAATCAAACTATTCGCTCACATTTATACTCTCTTTACTTTCCAAAATGGCAATTAGAAAATAATTTTAACATACATATTGGCGTTACCTTAGTGTTTGAAGATATTTAGATCCCGGTTTAAAGAGACAGATGTCTAAGCACACTTCTCATAAATCTTTGGCTTTTAGCGATCACAGCATAGTCTAGTCCCGTTTGTCCCTGTACTTGAGTTATTGTATGCTCCTCTTTCATCTAAATAAGTTTGTTGGGGTTTGTCCCCAGTTAACGAGAGCATTGGAACTTTAGGGAAATTTAATACCAAATCAATCAATGTGCTAGAGATAGCTATTAACTTTTAATTTACAAAGGCAGCCCAGCTATTCTGTCAAGTTTGCTATACTTCATTAATTTTAATAACAAACTTTCCTGGTTTGTACAGCTTCCTGAATTCTTAGAGCTGAGATTATTGTTAATTTCCATCACAATGATAGGTTCCAAATATGACAGCTGAAGTAATCTGCTAAAGGATGTGTCTTAACTTCTCTTCAAAATTCTACCTTATCTTTGTGACTTAAAGCAGAGAAAAGAATCATAGATTGGTGACTGTTATTTGGAATAAATGCCTGCATTTATACATTAATGTATTATATTTTTCTTAACTACCTTTTTTTGCTCCATATTTATTTATTTTAAAAATTACGTAGAGAAAAATTCACTACTTTTTTGGTTCTGAGTTATAATAGAAATATAGATTCATTTAAACACCCTCACAATTGTGGTATAGAATAGTCTATCATTCTAAAAAAAAAGTCCCTGTCTCTTTAGAGTTACCTCCCCCTCTGCCCTCAACCTCTGGCAACCACTGATCTGTTCTTTATTCTTACAGTTTTGCCTTTTCTAGAAAGTCATCCAAATGAAATTTTTTGAGTCTAGCTTCTTTCACTTGGCATAAAGCGTTTTAGATTTTTCCATTTTGTTGTGTATATCAGTAGTTCACTCCTTCTTATTGTGGACTAATATACTATTGAGTAAAACACCATTGTGTGGATGTAACAGTTTCTTTGTCCATTTACCAGTTGGACATTTGGGTTGCTTCCAGTTTTGTGATTTTGAATAAAGCTGCTATAAACATACACTTAGAAGTTTTTGTGTGAACATAAATTTTCATTTTTTTCTGGTTAAGTACTTAATAGTAGGATTTCTGGGTCATATGTTTAACTTTATAAGAAATTGCCAACTGTCTTCCAAAGTTGCTATACCATTTTCAATTCCCACCACTATATTTTATTTTAATAAAAAATATGTAAATGTGACCCACTTAAGTATATTTTTATTTATAGAAAAGTAAATAATCATGCAACAAACTGATAAATTTCATTTCTTCTGTTCTTGTGTTGCTCGTAGATGAGTTTAAAATCAGGTAGAGAATTTGAAATATGTGATATTCAAAAGAGAATTTTTTTTTAAGGTGCATCCTTTTTAACCTATGAACCTTTCATCCTATGCAAAAGAGCTATATAGATCATAAAAAGAGTTTTATATCCTTTGCCACTTGTCTGTTTTTCTCATTTTTCTCTTGTGTGCTTTATCCTACTTTGTGCACCAGTATCCTTCATGAGTTACCTTGTTGCTAGGCTGGGAAAAGAAAAATTATGTTAACAGCTCGTAAGAAAAAAATGAAATAGTAATAGAGATATTTGCTCAGCACATATTTATTGAATTCCTACTAAGTGGTGGGTACTTTCCTGGATACTGGGGATTCAGCAGAGTGCATAACAGAACAAACAAAAACAAACAGCAGAAAAATCTCCTTCAAGAACCTTAGTCTACTTCTAAGTGCTAAGGAAAACGCACACAGCTTGAGAAGAGGAAATAAAATTTTAGTGGAATGGAGGCCATTGTTAAGTTATAGACTTCTGATTTTATTGGACTGAAGCCATGGCTTGTTTTTGTTTACATAAACTTTATTTTGGAATAATTTTAGATTTGGCAAGGTTATAAAGATAGTACATAATTCCAATATATCTTACTACTTTTTCTAATGTTAACATCTTCATTACCAAATGTACAAGTGTACATTTGTCAAGACTAAGAAATCAACATTGGTACACACTATTAGCTGAGCTCCACATTTTATTTGAGTATCACTGGTTTTTCCATTAAGGTTTTTGGGTTTTTTTGTTTTTTTCCCCCTGTTCTGGGATCCAATTCAGGGTACCACATTGCGTTTAATCTTATTTCCTTGGTCTCCTCCCATCTGACAACTTCTCAGTCTTTCCTTATTTTTTTTTTTTGATGACCCTGAAACTTGAACAGGATTGATTAAGTGCTTTGTAGAATGTCACACGACTTGGGTGTGTCTAATATTTTTCTCATGATGAGACGGGCTATGGGTTTGGGGGAAGAATACGACAGAAGTGAAGTACCCTTCTCATCACAGCATATCAGGAAGTACCTGCTGTGAACATGACTTATCACGGGTGATGCTAACCTTGATCACTTGGTTAAGAGTACTGCTTGTCAGGTTTCTCCATGGAAATGTTTTTCCCTTTCCACAGTCTATTCTTTGGAAGCAAGTCACTAAATCCAGTCCACCCACATTCAGGGGGTCGGGGTAAGCTTCATTTCTTGGAGGGGAGAACATCTACATATATTGTTTAGAACTTTTCTGAGAGAAACATTTGTCTCTTTCCCCTCATTTATTTATTTATACAATCACTTATTTGTATTACTGTGGACTCGTGTATTTATTGTATACTTTGGGCTGTAGTTCAATATAGGCGTACTGCATTTTATTGCACTTTGCTTTATTGTACTTTGAAGAGACTGCATTTTTTACAAACAGAAGGTTTGTGGCAACCCTGTGCTGAGCAAGTCTATCAGTGACAATTTTCCAACAGCATTTGCTCACTTCTGTCTCTGTGTCACATTTTGAGATTTCAGACTTTTCATCATTATTATATTTGTCATGATAATCTGTGATCAGTGGTCTTTGTTGTCACTGTTACAACTCACTGAAGGCTCAGATGATAGTACTTCTTAGCATAAAGTATTTTTAAATTAAGATATGTACTTTTTTTAGACATAATATTATTGCACACTTAATAGACTACAGTATAGTGTAAACATAATTTTTATATGTGCTGGGGAACCAAAAAATCTGTGTGACTTGCTTTATTGCGATATTTGCTTAATTGCAGTAGTCTGGAACCAATCTCACACTACCACCAATGTATGTCCATAGTCCATTTATCTTGTTGCTCAACTTGTTCCAGCCTTGGCCTTTGGGAGCTCTTTCGTGTTGGCTCCATTTCCCTTTGACGTACCTCCAACCTTTTGTTTTTTGAGTGCTTGGTTGGTTTCTGGTACTACAAGATGTTCCAGGGTCATCTTGTATGTTCTTCGCCCCAACCTTAGGATCAGCCACTTCTTCAGGAAGCCCTAGTTCTTTTTGTTGGAGAATTGGTATTTAGAAACAAAGATTTGGGTACTAAGTGTACTCTTTGCTATTGCAGTATCAGTCTTCATCTTATTTATTAAAACATTTTAAAGTCTAAATTTAAAAATTAGGCCAGAGAAGTAGAAAGTGAGAAGTAAAACATACCCTGACTTAGAAAATCACGACGTGAGTTTTCGGTGGCTGGCTTCAGCCTCGCTTCCTAAAGCAGATGCTTTCCACTAGAAGTGCTTATCGGGTTATTGTGTTTTATTCAAATAATATGTACTTTTAAAGGTATTTAAAATATACATTTCAGTATGCAATGAGAATAAAATAATTTCTATTATTGAAATCTGTTTGTGTTTCAAGCTTACCTTAATACTAGCATTCTTATCACTTTGAGTGGAACAAATGATGTTTCTTGGTAGGACCTTTAAACCTCTGTTCATGTGGCTTGTAGATGGCAATTGGGAATTCTGTTGTTATGTTTCCCTTAGGGAAACTGACATCAGTTTCAACACAGTTCACTTATTAATGAGTCTCTTGTTAAAAGTAAGATTTTTCATATTTGAGGCTTTAGTCTAATTTAGACATTTTCTGCTTTGGATGTTTTAAGCCACAAGGAGAGGCAAATGGCTTCAGCAACCCAAATACAGTTGATTTGGTGTATACAGTAGTCCCCCTTAGCTGCAGTTATGCTGTCCACAGTTTTAGTGGGCAACTATGGTCTGAAAATGTTAAGTGGAAAATTCCAGAAGAAAATATTTCATAAGTTTTCAATTGCGGGCCACACCATTCTGAGCAGCTGTGATGAAATTTGATGCTGTCCTGTTTTGTCCTGGTCCTGGGTGTGAATCATCCCTTTGTCAGCCTTAGCAGACACCTTGGTTATAAAACTGACTGCCCAGGCATCACAGAGCTTGTGCTCAGGTCACCCTTAGGAGCTCAGGAGTAGTGATGCTGGAAATTCAGACAGTCTCTTACTGTGCCTAATTTATAAATTAAACTTGATCATAGGTATGTATATATAGGAAAAAAATGTATCATATGTAGGGTTTGGTACTATCCACGGTTTTGCATCCACTAAGGTCTTAGAATGCATCCCTGTGGATAAGGCAGGGGACTCCTGTTTTTCTCTTTGGCCATCAGATTGGAGCAAGTTTTAAAAGTTGAATTAAATTTTAAATTGGGAGTTAAAGTTAATTTTGGAAAAAAGAAGTATTAAAAACTTACTTAAAATTTGAAAGTGGATAAGAGTATAGTTGCTTTAAAGAACAAGATAGTCCATTGCTTTAATCCTGTTTTTTTGTTTTTGTTTGTTTTTCTTTTGCAGAGAATGTAGCTGGTCACTACATTTCCCCCTTTCATGATATTCCTCTGAAGGTGGACTCTAAAGAGGTATTGTTTTAACTTGTTTTGGGCATGAAAATATATACTTCTAGAATCACCATCAAATGCTCTTTGCAAGCATCTCGAAAGGAAGGAAAGTGGTCAGAAGTCAAGAAGGGCAATGGAGCTTTAACAACAGGATTGTAACCCTCATTCCTGAATTGGACTTTGTGTAAGAGTAGGATTCTTCCAGGAGGACTTTAGGAGAAAGAGGTGTTAGCAGTCCACAAAGCTTAGATCTGGTAGGAAATAAAGATTTAAGGTTAAGAATTTAGGTTAACAAGAGGGTTATTTTTAATAATAATAATAATAATATTAGTAATAGTAAGATAGCTAACATTTGTGGATTATTTTCTGTTGGCTAGCCACCATGTGAACATGTGCCATGTTACTTAGTCCTTATGAGCTGCTGTTATTATCTCCAAGGACACTGGAGCTGAGGCATGTTATTGACGTGTCTGAGGTCAGATGGCTGGTAAATGACAGGACCGGGTTTTGAACCAGCATTTCAGACAAGGGAACTCATGCTCTTTAACCACTGTGTGAAACAGGTGCTAGAAGAGTACAGCTGAAAGAATGGTAGTCTGTGGCCGGCTATTCTCTTAGAACCGAAGAGTACTTGAAGGTGTGTGGGTGGAAGGGCGGGAGGTTGGGTAGGAGTGGGAGCTCTGCTGCTGAAGCGGAGCTGGGCTCAGTTGTGGGAGCGTTTGGAGGGCTCCCCTGCCCGGTTGGCGAGATGGCAGAGCTGACAGTGGATGTTAGTAATCACCGCCAAGTTGGGAGCTCTTTCTTTAAAATCCAAGCAGCTAATTGGTCTATTTCAGTACCAGATTTATTAAGGGGCACGACTGTCAAGTAAATAACCAGGCCTGCATTCAGGTTTAGATTACACAGTAGGGGGATCGGGTAGGGGCAGAGCCCAGTGAAGAAGTGGGAAACTGCTTCAGATGCAAAGGTGTTTTGACCTTTTTGATGATACCTCCGGGGCCAAATACCGGGCGACATCCTAAGGTTGTGGACCGCCAGCATGGGATTTATGCTGCCCTCCAGCCCTGCAGAGGCCGGACTGTCCATAGTCATGGCGATGGGGAGGAGAATAGTGGAGACTTCCTGAGTGCTGCCAGTGCCGAGCCCAGTAGGGCGCTCAGCGCTTGGCTGGCACTGTGTCAGTGTGTCCAGAGCTACTGGTGTCACCCTGTTTTTGCTAATGAGGTTAAGTGCCTTGCCCTTGGTCACAAATCTATCTATTGTGAGGGTGAGATTTGAACTTAGATGCTCTAACTCCATAGCCTGTGTCTTTTTTCTTTTTTCAACATTTCTTCAGGCTTCATTTTAAAGGACATTTTAAAGGTTTGAGGTCAAGAAGACAATCGATAATGGGTGACTTGATATAGGTTAAAAAAAAAGCAAAAGTAAAGATATTTTATTCTAAACTATTATTTACAAACATATTTACAAGTAATTATTTCCTATAACACTAGTAGAACTTTCTAGAAATAATTCTCCCGGAAAGAGCTGAGAATAAGGATGCTCAGCAGCAGGGGCCTGTGTCTTAACTGCCCTTGTATAATCCTTGTAGCTCATTACTTTCAAGGAGTGTTCAGCTACAGGACAAGGGGTGTTCAGCTACAGGACAAGGAGTCACATTGTCTGGAGAGAGAGAGGAACCCAGTGAGAGGACAGAAAGAACTCCACACTGCTGTGTGTGTCTCTGTGAGTGTGTGTGTGTGTGTCCATGTCCGTGTGTTTTGTTTTGGCCAGTGATCCAACCTAAATATCTCACGTCTCCCAACACCTCTATTTTTGGCTAAAAGCATACCCATTCATCTATTCATTTGTTCATTAATTTATTCATTCAGTAAACAGCCATTGATTGCATACTTATTGTGAGCCAGACAGTATTCCAAGCACTGAAGTTCAGTGGTGAGTAAGGTAGATACAGTTCCCGCTCAGCCAGATGAGACTAACGAAACCCCAAAATCAGTCAGTCAGTCATCATGTTAAATGCTGGAAAACTAGAACAGAGTGATGAAGGTAGAAGGGACTGGTGGGTGCTGCCTCCCGTGGGGCTGTACCATGACAAAATCTGTGTACCCGACAACAACAGTAACAATAATACTTGAGGGAATCATGTAGTGGGCAGGGGTGGAGGTAGGGTGAAGAGTGGTCTAGAATCATCCCAGTGGGCATGATATTCTGCCTAAGGAGGACCAGTTTTGGGGAACATGAGACTTAGGATTAGGCAAAGTTGAGGCTAGGGCAGGACAAAATGTTAACAGGCAGTCCAGTGAATTCTGGGCACATGGAGGTTGGTACACGCAGTGGTTGTGTAAATAGTTCCCAGTCATAATGATTAGAACTGTTGCACCTTCTACTTTAGGATGTGGGATTTTAGGAATAGATTCCATGTTTCAGGACTAGCTTGAAATAATTACTTTTCTATTTGTTTTGTTTCCGTCCTTTTGGTGTGGAAAAGTTACGTATAATGTGTGAACATTTGTAAATGGCATAATTTTTCTTCTCAGCCCACCACGTATTCTGTTTTAATTTGAAAGTGCTTGATGGCGGCATAGTAATCACACCTTGGTGGAATTCACAGGCAGTAGGTGCAGTCGGGTACTTTCATGGCTTGTTAGTCACGCTCCCTGGAGTTTCATTTCAATAATGAAATGACTGTTTTAAGCGTAATCACTGGAAACTGCCAGTCTTTTCCATGAAGACTGAACAGAGCCTTTGCTTATTTTATAAAAACTAGGAAAATATACTTAAAAGAGATTTAGCTTTTCTGATAATTTGCTTAATGGAACACTTGGATGCTCAGGCACTGGGGATGTAATTGCCGAGAGGAAAACGCACTGGACATTTGGTGGATTCTCTGTGGAATCAGGTTTCTGGAAGCCTCTGTAGTAGAATGTTTACACAATAGGCATATTTTCATTGCTTTGCAGTCAGTGCAGCTGTATTCTTTCATGAAATATTACAATCATAAATACCATTTTTTCTTTTATAGGCAAATGGCATTCCTACAAAGAGGGCACGAAATGATGACTATGAGGTATATCTAAAGGTTTTTATGTGTGTGTATCACTTCCGTTGTCTTTAAAGACCTTGATGATAGTTTGCATTTGTAAAGTGCTTCTGAATTATTCTCCCTGCAAAACTTTCATGTATATTCTGATGTTTTTCTTCTTCTGTAGCATCTCTTTAGGGCAGCTGGGGATGATATTACCATTTCACTTTTTTTTTTCCCTTGTGGTAAAATATACGTAACATTTACTGTTTTATTTATTGCACACTTTTTAAATGTACAGTTCAGTGACATTAAGTACTTTTAACATGTTGTACATGTCACCACCATCCATCTGCAGAACTTTTTCATCTTCCCAACTGAACCTCTGCACCCAGCAAGCCCTAGCTCTCCATTTCCGCTTCTACCCAGCCCCTGGTAACCGCTATCTACTTTCTGTTAGTAAATCTGATATTCTAGTTGCTTCTTTACCATTTCATTTTATAAGTGAAAGACCATAGAGAATCAGGAAATGAACCCAGATATTAGTAGGAAGTTATTATTTACCATTGTGGATGGTCTAAAGTAAAGGTATGAAAATCGGTCAGTTTATCATCTTTTTATTATAAAGGAAAAAGATGGTTTCAGAGGCTGTTTTAGGATCCAGGAACAATTTTTTTAGGGGTAGAGGAGAAGAAAAAATAGTTATACCAACTATATGCTAAACCAAATAACATTCTAAATATATCTTTTAAATATGTGGCTGTCAAACCTTTCATAGTTCTTGCTTAGGACTAAACATTTGACTGATGTCTGTCATCCCGTCTCTTGCTGTCAGCACCTTTTTATCTTTCTGATGCCAGACAGCTTTTCCTGCCACCTTCTTTAGCCTTCTTTTCCCTTCTCATCCTTTTTGTCATCTAGTCTCTAGTCTGGCTGAAACTATGACCCCAGCCTTTGAATCCACTTCCAACAATAGCTGAGGGGCTGTTTAATTCCTGCCACCTTTGCCTGGTCTTGTATTTTCCTAAACTAATGTTTGTCAGAATGGTCTGTAAGCCATCTACATTGGATCCACTTGGGGCACTTGCTAAAATTTCAGATTCCTGGCCCATTCCATATCTATTACATCAGAATCTCTGCTTGATGAGGACTGGTTAGTTTACATGTTTAACAAGTGTTTCAGAGCATTCTGTATGCACTGAAGTTTGAGATCCACTGCCCTGATGTTGGGTGAATAGACATTCAGGAACTCAGGTCTTCATAGGTTCATGGAGACTTTGTGACTTTGTGTGTTAACCTGGAAGCAGTTGGTTTACTGGGAAAAATGTATTCTGAGTCCATACAGCCAAATTAAAATTTAATTCTTAGAATGTAGTTTATATGTCAGAGACTACCTTATTTTTTTTTTAAATTGTGTCCTATTTCTTCTGTCCTCCAGCCCCCGACAGCCACTTTTCTACTCTGTTTCTGTGAGTTTGGCCTTTTTCTCTTTCTTTTTTAAGATTCCATATACAAGTGATGCCATGCAGTATTTGTCTTTCTCTGGCTTATGTCAGTGAGCATGAGGTCCTAAAGTTCCGTCCATCCTATTGCAAATGGCAGGATTTCCTTCTTTCTCATGGTTCAATAATATTCCTTTGTATGTATACAACACCTTCTTTACTCATTCATTTGTTGACGGGCACTTAGGTTGCTGTCATGTCTTGGCAATTGTGAATAATGCTGTAATGGGCATGGGAGTGCAGGTGTCTCCTCAATATCCTGTTTGTATTTCCTTCAGATGAATACCACAAAGTGGGATTACTGGATCATGTAGTAGCTCTGTTTTTAATTTTCTGAGGAACCTTCATACTGTTTGTCATAGTGGCTGTACCAATTTACATTCCCACCAACATTCGCCCAAACCAGTGCACACGGATTCCCTTTTCTCCACATTTTCACCAATACTTGTTATTTCTTGTCTTTTTTGATGGTAACCATTCTAATAGACATGAGCTGATATCTCATCATGGTTTTGATTTGCATTTCCCTGATGAGTAGTGGTACTGGTCAGTTGTATGTCTTCTTTGGAAAAGTGTCTACTCACGTCCTATGCCCATTTTTTAATCAAAAAAATTTATTTTTGCTGTTGAGATTTTTATGTATTTTGGATATTATTCCCTTAACAGATGTATGATATGCGTATATTGTCTTCCATTCCATAGGTTGTCTTTTCATTTTATTAATGGTTTCTTTTGCTGTGCAGAAGCCTTTTAGTTTAATGTAGTTCCACTTGTTTATTTTAGCTTTTGTTGCCTTCGGTTTTAGTGTCAAATACAAAATTTGATGTTTTAAGAGATACAAAGAGGCTGGAAGGGTGATTTTCTCTCATTTTTTCCCAAGTACATAAAATCTGCTGACTGCTTTTTCATATCTTTTTTTTCCTGCAATAAAAATAGAAGGGAAAAATAGAGAAAGAAAAAAACTGAAGGAGGAGGTCAGTGTCCCTGAGCCATACCCAACTTTCTGAATGAAACACATCCCCTTGCATTTTTGTGATTTTCTAATAAATTTCAGCAGGCCAGTTATGGTTTATAATTAACACTGATCTGTGGGTAACCAGACTAACATCAGCTTTGAAAAATTACAGGTCGTATGCACTGTAGCCGGAGAGACGAAAGGCAGGCTGGAAATGCACTCTCAGTGATCAGGAACAAATGATGAGGGACAGTGTGGTTTGCAGCTTAAAGTTCAGACCTGATCCATTGTTCTTTTGGCCTAATTGAGGTTTCCGTGAGCGGGTTTGGTAGGTGTCGTTGTGCAGAAGGATTGTCACTAGCTTTGTCTTCTCTGTCACCTCTGAGTATTCATCTGCATGCATTTGTTCTCTTATAGCCAGACTTTCCAGGATGAATAAATTATGTGAACATCTGCCATTTACTTAGGTTTTTCTTTTTAACGGCTACTTCAGACATATTTAAACAGGTGCTGGGGTAGCTCATGAAAGAGCATAGAAAATGAAACATAACAGCAGGCTTGTGTATAAGGTTGCTAGGATAGGTATGAGACATACTTCTGAGGAGCAATTGTCGAGAATTCCTTCTCAGCTTTGTTCTCTGTCTCATTATGAGGCTGCCGTTTTGTCATTGGTAAACTTCAGCCCTATCTAGAAGAACTTGAAAACCATCATTACTTTTGTGGCTCGATTTCTATTTCTATGTCTATTTAATTGTGTAAATGGCATTCTTCGAATTAATTTCATTCATGTTTCATTAAGAAAGCCCCAGATACTGTTTAGCAGTGCTTTAAACCAGAGGTTCTCAGCTCTGGCTGCATATTAAAATTGCCTGGAAAGCTTTTCAAAATAAGCAATGCCCTGTTCCACCCCAGAACCATTGAATTCAAATATGTGGGAGGTGGGGCTCTAGAAATCTTTCTTCTCTTTTTTAATCAGTTAAAGCAATCCAGGTGATTTTTATGTGTGGCACAATTGAGAGTAAGAATATTTAATCGCTTCAATCACACAAGTGATCTGTGGTGTAGGACTAGTTTTTTGGTATGTTCATTTCTAATCTGTTGTGAACTGATACTTTAAAACTACAGTCAAAATGAATTATTAGAGAAGTGTAATTCAGGTACCAAATTTTTATTATTAGGTTCAACAGTCATAAAAATTGCTCCGTCAAGTTGCTATAAATGTTTCTAAGTAAACCAGTAACAACCAGCTTGCAAACTAGCCCTGGTCCATGACCACGCTTGGAGTGGGACTTTTAAACCATTGCTTTGTTAAGTTGTTAAGTTACTGATACCAAAATGGCATGCAGGTCAGCTTTAACTGTGCTTTCTCTTTGTAAGGCCATTACTGTAGGAAGTTAGTTTTACTCTCCATGGCCTAGAGTATCCTTTGTTTTAAACACTCTGCAAAGTTCAGAAATAGAAGAAGAAGCAGTGGTCCTTTTGTACTGTAGGGAACCAGAGAGCACTAGATATGCACGCTAAACTTCGAAATTCTTGGTAAGCTTTATAACCACCTATACCGATAGACTTAATTTTAATTATGACTATAATAACTTGGATTTAAATATTGTTTTTTTAATTTTCAAAATCTTTTACTTCATAATTGTCTGTATTTTTATTTGAATTATGTAACTGATCTTCACAACAGCCTTCTGTGGAGTGAGGACGGAAATTATCACACTGATTTTGTAGACTGGAAAAGCGAGACATTCAGCTCTCACTCCTATTTTAGTTAGAAAATAGAAATTGACACAAGTTTCCTGACTTCATTCTAGTTCTGTCATGACTTTGGGAAAGATATTTCCAGAAATGTAGCAACTTCTAACACTGTGCAATGGTGGTCAGGTGACGTGATTGGGCATAAACTTTGTTGTGTTTTCACCAACTTCTCTAATATTTTAGAAGAAATTTAAAAGGCATAGGCAGACATTTGATGCAGACTCTAATCGTTTGTTGTGGGAAAAAGACTAAAGCAGTCCCGTGCAGGAGATAAATGAAAAAATAAAGGATAGATTAAATTAAAATTTTTTCTCTTTGTTTTTTTTTTAAATTGCAGAATTTGTTTAATATGATTGTAGAAGTACCTCGATGGACAAATGCTAAAATGGAGGTATGGAAATATTCTCTTAATATCAAATGGAAATGAGAACTAATAATGATACAAAAACTTTGCTTCAAGTTGTTTGCCATAATATTTCGAATTTGGAATGGGTGACACCTTTTTTATAATGAAAACAGTGGAAAACATTCTTGTGAATTTACTTTGAATCTAATTACAAAAAGCAAAATATTATTCAAAGCTGAATTTACACTTTAAAGAGAGTGTTTTCCATTTTTTGCCTGCCTAGTTTGTTATACACATATAAATTTAATTTTCCTCAACTCCTCTGTCTTTGAAAATGACAAATATTTTCAGGGTTTTCTAAGGTTCTGAGATGTGTTTTGTTCATAGGACACGACTAAAACATACTTGGGTCCGATGGCAGTTTTAGTTTCTAAGGGCTTAATTCTCTAGATTTTGTTTTACTCTGCCAGGAATGAAAGCATCTCCCTGGCCAGCTCTTGATTACTGAGCACTAGCTGAGATCATCTGCTGTTGCCCTGGTTAGCTTTCTTCCCCCTCTTCCTCCATGAAACATGAACCTAGTAAGAACTTCCCTTTTGCTTTTCAGAATTTTGTAGTTTCATCTTCAGGTAGGTAAGATCCCTTATAGTTCTGAGTGAACTTTAATTTATGGCACTTAGTTGGCTGAGTTATTTCAGCCTTCTCCTACAACATTGAATGAGATAGCAAGTATTATTTCAAGTATTTAAGGATTATTATGTCAGTATCTATTTCGCAGATTTCATCTTTGGAAAATTGTCAGTTATTTCACAAAGTCCTGGCAGTATTTTTTGTTAATCCTTTAATAGGAACAAATAAAGATACCAGATTCTTCTTTTGCTCTTGCTTTTAGATACAGTGTTTTATCATGCTGGCCAGCTGGGTGTAGGATCAAGAACCTGTGAGATGCTGCCTAATTTAAGCAGCGTTTATTCACTCAAACATGGCTTCAGTTATTTTTTTGTATACTTCGTAGGATAGGTTTTTTTCTTTTTGCATAGCAATTCGGATATGTTTGATTGAAAGATAGCTTTGAAATGAAATCACTTGGTGAGAAACCTTTAAGTTAACTTTATTGTAAGATTGATGGTAGAAGACCCAAGATTAGTAACAAATAGCAAATTGATTAATCCTTATCCTCTTGCCATTTCAGTAATTTTTATTATTTGTGTTAGAAGTAAAGAGTGCATAAATCATAGAGTGCCTAAATATATAATCTGATGTTTCCTCTCCAGTTGTTTTTTTTTTTTAATACAGAACGGTAAATTAGAAATAAGAGCTGGCTTATTTACTTTAAAGTATCTTCAATCAGTAAGTTGGAATGTGAATATTTAGTCTGATAATGGCAGATTTAAAAAATACTGTTTGAATCTAGGATTAATCATTTCTCATCCCCCTTCCCCCTTTCTTCTATGATCCGCTTAGATTGCCACAGAGGAGCCATTGAATCCCATTAAACAAGATCTGAAGGATGGCAAGCTTCGCTATGTGGCAAATATCTTTCCTCACAAGGGTTATATATGGAATTACGGTGCCCTCCCGCAGGTAACATTTTTGTTATAATGGTAAAACTTCTCTGTCTTCTGAAAAAATTGCCTTGTAAATCCTGTGAACTACTTGAATTTAAATTGGTTCTGAGGACATGTCAGTGTGAGAGATTTGTAAATTTAAATTTTTTTAATGTGGCGTTTTATTGTATCAATAAATTTTTTTTCAAACTATATATATGTCTATACTCAGGTTCTCGGCGTTAGGCAGATAGAACACTCACATTTGGCATTTCAAGCACATTTCTTTTTCTGGGCTTGGCTATTAAGAGTCAGTGAAAAGTATTTTATCTCCTTTATCTGCAGTCATTTCTTAGAATATGACAAGTTATGTTTTTATATACATTCATATATGATAGCATGAATTTTGTTTTTTTAAACTTTAACATATGAACCTTTTAAATTATTAAAGCTTTCAAAACTTGTGAATTGAATTAGGTGACTTAATTATTTACTATCTAGATTTATAATTTTTGATTGGGAAGCAATGAAAACAATGGCTAAGTATTGGTAAAGCAGCATTCCTATTACAGAATAACACTGTTTGCTTTTCTTTCTTTCTTACTCCTTTTTGTTTTGTTCTCACATTTCCTCACTCCTGGGAAGTGGTAACTCCTTCCAGGTTAGTGAGGAAAATTTAGAATATTCCAAATCAGAAGTCTAGGTTTTGGGACAGGGAGAAGCAGCTGCCTTTATCCTTATAAAAGCCATTAGAGCATCTGTCTATTTGGATGTTTAATTTTTGTATTTTAATTTTAATTATTAATTTTAATATTTTGCATAACATTCCAAGATGTTTTTTGGAAAATATCTGAGAAGGGGCTTTGGTGTATCCAACTCAGAAAAACAGCTGCCCATGTAGAATAAACATTCACAGGAAAAGAAAAAGAAAATTGTTTTCTAAAGAGTCAGGCTGCCTTTGATGCAGTTGGACCACCCACATAGATACATTCTTGGTTAAAAGAGGCACTTCTGAAGTGATGTGCTAAGAATGAGAATGCCTGTTGAAACCAAAAAGGCGGGTTTTCTGACTCCCCAGGTGCCTAAGTAGACATTCTGTTTGACCTAGCAGCGAAAGGGCAAAAACATTTCTGTTAAGCTTAAGGGATACTGTCTGTAGGAGAAGATGCATGGATGAGGGGAAGGACAACCAAGTCCTTGAATTAGAAAAAGACAAAAACGGAGACATAAAACGTAGAGCAGGCAGAGCATAACTAGAGTTCATGTATTTGTTTATTGCATTAAACATTTACTAAGGATTTATATGCTAGGCAGGGCATTAGGTTTTGGGTGTACAAAGAAAAATGAGATATAAATGTAAGATCAAGGCAGCATAATAAGTGACTCAGAACGTGGCTTTTGGAGCCAGATTGCCACTTACTCATAATGTGACCTTGGGCGAGTTCCTCTGTGTGTCTGCACCTCACTTTCTTCGTCTGTCAAGTAGAGATGATTGAAGTCCCTCCTGCACATGGTCATGTTGAGGTTAAAAGAGTTCTTGTGCATTCACCTTAGACCTGTGCCTAATGGATAGTGATCACATTATCATAACTACTGGTGCTTTTATTATTATATGGTCTTTTTTCTAAAAGGATGTATAGTCTTCCGGGGGTGGGTGATGGACACCTAATCCAGCAGTTACAGTGGCTCATAATAGATGCTGCTGACCACCCACTACTGATTCTGAGCTTTGTAGTTTACCTGTTTGAAGTCCTGACAAATTTGTGTCCCCTCTGGAGGTGCTGGCATTTTCAGGCTGCTCTCACCTGCTGTTAGACTAGTCTGTTGGGTACCGTAGAGCTTCCTGGGTCATGAAAGGATTAGATGGCAGCCAGCTCTGCTCTGAATACACCTGGTGTCACTATCGCCTCCCGAGATCTCACACTCCCCTCAGCACCGTTTTTGCCCATATGAGACCCTTTTAATGGCTTCCTGTTGCTAAAGGGGTAAGATGTAGACTTCCTCAGGTAGCTCCTCAACCCTGCATAACCTGGCCCCGCCTCTCCAGGCTGGTCCCGCAGCCTTCATCCTGCCTCAGGTCCATTCCACCTTGGCAGCTGCTCTAGTTGCCCTTGTCGCTTCCACACTAAGCCTTCCGTCGCAGGGCTGTTTTGTTCAGTACACGTGTTTCGGGTACCTGACTTTTGCCAGGCCATGTTCTAAGTCCTGCAGGTAAAGCAGTGGTAAAAGTGACAACAGTTCTCCTGGGACTTTTATTCTGGGCAGAGAGATAGTATAGTACATCAGATGGCGACAAGTGTGTGGGAGAGAAATAAAGCAGCAGGTGGGACTGGGGTGGGTGGGACTGTTGCCATTCAGAGAGGGGGAAGGCCTCAGCTAGGAGGTGGTACCTGAGAGAAGACCCAAAGGAAGTGAGGGCCGCCCAGGGGGGACCCAACAGGAAACAGCAAGTATAAAGGCCCCCGAGGTGGAAGGACGCTTAGTGTGTCTGAGTGACAGAAAGGAGGCCAGTGTGGCTAGAGTGGAAGTGAGGAGGAGGAAACAGACTTGTATTCTCTCTGCCATTTTCAGCCAGATTTTTACTGCCTTTTAAACCCAGACTCATGATGTAGTGTGTGTATGCGTGGGTTAGTCTTCAGCAAAAGTGTACACCATAGATTGCACAGAAGCTATGTGCCAAACAAAAATTAACTGTGTTGATTAATGTTTGTAAAAAGTTGAAATTAAGCCAGTTGTTTATGGATAAGGTAATTGTACCTAATGCCTTTTTGATTCATTGTGCATGTTAAGACAGATTGAGTCCGTTAAAATGAAAGTTAGACCCTGGTCCCATGTATGTTTTTGATCTCATGTCCGACTTTTCCTCTTGCTGCTCTTCCTGCTCGCGCATCCCTATACAGCCTTCTCACAATTCCTCTGAACAATCCTGCCTCGGGCCTTTACAGCTACTGTGTCCTCCAGCTTGGAACACTCTTTCCCTCCTTAGATCTTTGCTCATCAGTTGACTTTTTGATTTCTGTTCAGAACATCCTATACAGTTTTAACCCTGCCTCCTGTACTCCCATTTCTCCTCCATACTTAATTTTTTCCTTTTTCCATTACAACTACCAACTTCTGACATGCCAAATAATTTAGTTATTTATTATGTTTGTTGTTAATTTCTTCTAGCTAAAATGCAGTCTTTGTGAGGGCAGAGATTCTGTCTGTTTTGTTCACTTATGTCTTCCGAGTTAACTCCCCAGCTTAGTTTCTGGCACAGAGGAGGTGATCAACATGTATTTTTGGAGTGAATGAATCCATAAATACATTATATGTGTTGCCTTTGGTTCATAGGCATGTATATAGGTAGTTGGATTTTGCTCTTCTCTTATGATTTGTCTTGTAACTGCAGGAAATTTGTTCAGAGAAGTTACCAAGCCAATCATGCTTAGAAGAACATTTAAGCAGCAGAATACTGTTTAAGTAGAAGCCTCTCCACTTAGCTTGTGATTCATCAGTGTGCCCTCATTATTTCAGACCTTCAGCTGTCTAGATAATAACTTCTCCTGCACTAGCAACAATGCCTTCCTCGAAGTTTGAGTTTGGACTGGGCAAAAATCATCTTTGTTCATCTTTTTCCACTTGTTGATATATCTCATACATTATTCAAGTTCTGACTTTCTGCATGAATATTTAGAAGACCTGCCTGAACAATGTTAACTCACTAACCCGTGGTGAGTGTCAGCAGTATTATCTTGATGATGATACTGTTGCTACTGATATTAGCTGTTAATAGCAAAACAGCTGGTAGAGTCTTTTGCTCCAAATTAAAGCTGATAAAGTGCAGGTAGTGCCTGAGTAGAACTTACTTCTTTTGACTTGGAATAGGAATCCTGACTGATCAGGAAGTAGTTCTCAAGAAGCATATACAACTCTGTACAATTCAGTGATTTTTTTCAGAGAGACCAAAGGACCAGAGCATGGTGATTACAGACGCATTGGTTAATATTCATAAGACTGTAAGGTAATGATCTCAAACATCTGCATGAAGATGAGTAAGATATGTCTTAGGCTAGATCAATAATCTGATTTATTTATTTTTATAGCTTTATAGCTGTCCTTTGTATGACTTTAACATTATTTGTATTCCTGTTAATAAGTTGTTTTTAACTTTTTGCTTTTTTTGGGTCCATACTAAAATTTTTCTATGTACCTTGTATATGTGGGTATATACTGCTATGTATATACCTGAGTCAGATTGCTAAATTGTGAGTTACACACCTATTTTACTTTATTAGGTATTCCCAAATTGTTTACAAAAGACGTCGTAACGATATATTCTCCCACCAGCAGTAGGGTTCCAGATGCCTTACCTCATTAACAGTATTTGGCATTATCAGACTTTTAAGTTTTTTAAATAGTGTCTCATTTTGGTTTTAATTTGCATTTCTGTGATCAGACTGGGTATCTTTTCATCTATTTATAAATCATTCATATTTCTTCTTTGAATTACCTGTTCCTGTCTTTGACCCATTTTGTATTGAGTTGCCTTTTTTCTTAGTTGTAGAAGTTATTTCTAAATTCTGGATGCTAATCTTTTGTCCCTTTTGTGAAACAGATACTAAGATTTGGAAATTCCTTTTCTGGTTATTTCTTTTCCAACCTGACTGCTTTTCCAGTTGTTTCTCTGCCTAGTTGTACACTTAAAGCTCCACTAGAGGGAGTAATTAAAGTTTTAATTTGTCAAGATTTCCTCTCCTGGTGATTGCTTGAAATTATACTATATTTCCAAATTAAGTTAGGAGTCATTTAGTATGAATCTCTTTTTGTAGTGAAAAACCAAGCCCTGGAGATATGAAGTCCTTTCAGGCAGGACTGGAAATAGAAAGAGCCAGTTGGTGTTTCTGCTGGTAAGGGAAATCATGAAGAACTGGCCCTAAAATTGACAACATGGTTATAACATAAGAATTTTGTATGTATCTACTTATTTCCTCAACAGAAGAAACTAAGTTGATAGGTTAATATTGAAAGTGGAGTTCTGAAGGGAATTTAGACCAATCAATCAACAGAGAAACCCACCAAAACCAAATGGAGTACAACTTGCATGAAGACAGTTTTTGTGTCGGTACAAGGAAGGACTTTTGTAAAAATTAACACTGATCAAAATGGGCTAAGTTATCTCGTGAATCTGAGCGCTTCCTGTTCACTGGTAGTATTTGTGCAGATTATGAATGACCACTAACAGTCACAGAATTCAGGGCTAGGATGTATCCAGCAGTTGTCTTATTTAAGCCATTCTTTTGTAGGTGAGAAAACTGAGGTCTGGATGTTTTGGCCAAGGTAGTTTCTGGCTAAAGTAGAACTAGAATCTAGATGTCTTCCTTGAGGCCAGAGTGACTTGTAGCCTGTGACATTTGCTCTTCTGAGAGTGGGAGTGAGATTCAGGAAGATTTGAGAAAGGGTTCCTGCATTAGGAAGGAGGAACCTCTCAGCCCTTTTCTGCTTCTGCTTCTAGGTTTACTGATTCCAATTATACCTCAATCCCATCTTGGTTTCTCCAGCACATTAAGGTTGATTTTGTAGCATTTCTGACGAAAGCTACCCCATTGTTAACATGATGTTCTTCAGGGTGTTGACTATGTCCTGTATCTATCTCCTGGCCCAGAGTAGGTCATCAGTAAGTCTTTACTCAATGAATGCATACCTGGTAATAGAATACAAGAAGTAGTAAGGGGAACAATGGGAAAGAACAGAATCTCTGTAGGAAAATATACTTAGGAGATTCTAAGAGTAACAGAAGGTATTAAAAGAAGAGAATCATGAATAAGATTATATCCAAAAGTAATTGCCATTCAACTACTATTGTTATCAAAACTTGGGCATCATAACATAATGATTAATAGCACGTGTTCTAATACCATTGCCAGCATTTAGAAACTGAGCTTGGATGAATTTAAACTCTCTGTTCTTCGGTGTACTTATCTGTACAATGGGGTTACTAACGGTACATTCTTCATCATGGAGTACATGTGTGTGTAAGTCTGTGTGTGTCACTTAGAAGGGTGTCTCTCAACTATAACCAGTATGTAAGATTAACAGTTATATTTATTATTCTTATGTTTTTATTGGTAATGTTAGTATCTGGGGTAGTGAAATGTTATTAGACTTGGTTTGCTGATTTTTTTAAAATTTTTTTGGTGAGGATGGATCAGTTTATTCCTGAATATGCTATAATTAGGATCAGAAGAAAAAATACAGTAGTTTATCTAGGATTTAGTTATAAATAAGGATCCATTTTAAATTATCTTTATAAAATTAGAGGAGCCAAGCTTGGATAGTCTGAAATTCTAGAGAGCATTCTTGAGATATCATAGTCTCTGCACGTCTTGTAAGTGTAAATCTGAGAGAAGTAACTTCAGGGAACATCCTTAGTTCCATTTAAAATCAGCTCACTATGAGGCTTTGGGGAAGGATAGTGTCTAGGGGATATTTAGATTTGATAACAAAAGTTCTGTTACGTTATTTGTTGATAAAAATGCCCATGGATGTATTTTGTAGGCGACAGGGTGTAGTTTTTCAGTAAACTGAAGAGTTGGCATGTTTTCACTTTTTCGTCCAAGTCTTGAGCTTTGATAACAAAGGTAGAGGATTTTTAAAATGGAATGAAATGGGGCAAAAACGATTTTTCTTTTTTTGGTAGAGCTGTCTTGTTCTTGAAGGGAGAACCGGGTTTATTCTAGTAGAAGTCATTTAAAGTACAGGAAGTTTATTTTCAAATCTGGAAAGCCATACCCAGTCCTGGTGCCGTGCCAGGGGAAGCGGTGCATGGTGGAGACATCAGTCTAGACCCTAGAAACAAGGGCAGAGACAGCGGGAGCATCTGAACTGAAGCTCTAGTAAAAGTGAGCGTGAACTTAGACATTGACTAAACCTGGAGGAGGAGTCTGTGTGGAAACACACAGACAAACAGGAGACAGAGGGAGGAAATAGTATAAATCTGCTTTAATTATTATGATGCTTAGGGATGTACTGGCCTGTTGACATTGAACCTGTTGAATTTCTGAGAATTCTCCCCTTGGATCGTGGCTATCTGTAAAACTTCATGATCACGTGGAAAGATTAAGATACATTACAGTGAGTATTAACCTACATCTTTGCTTCCCCCACCCCTCTTTTTCTTAGACTTGGGAAGATCCCAGTCGAAAAGATAAGAGCACAGACTGCTGTGGAGATAATGATCCTATCGACGTCTGTGAAGTCGGCTCCAAGGTTTGTGTCGTAGGCTGTGGGATTGTAACGTGTTCTGCTGTGTTCATGCCGTGGAATTTCAGTTCTCATTGGAAGGCACCGCGCCTTCAAAGTTCTAGCCTATCGATCCCTCTGATATCAGCCCTCTTTTGTATCTTTACTTCCTTCTCTTAAACTCGGGGTTGGTGAGCTATAGCCCAGGCCAGTCAAATCCAACTCACCACCTGTTTTTAGAAACGGCAGAGCTGTGGGTTGTCATTACCATAGCCTACAGCTGCTCCTGCACCACAACCGCGCGCGCTTGAGGAGGGCAGCAGAGAACATACAGTCTGCAAGGCCTGAAGCCTTCACTACCTGAGCTTTTACAGGAGAGGTTTGCTGAGTCCTGTCTTCTAATTCCTGCCCCGTTTTTCCAGACAGGAGGTTCAACACTGATGAAAGTCAGCTCATACTCTTTTCTTGTGCATGCTTCCAGGTCGCCAGGTCCCAGTGGGGACAGACAAAACCTCCAATTCCATCGGTTGCTGCTGCCATAGCCTTCTGAGTGTCTTTGGTCCATCCTGTCTCCTGTTTTCTGCTGTATTTATTGCTAATGTTTATTGTTCTCTGCAGACATTAAACTCCTTTTCCCCTTAGACTGCCAGACACCTATGTCTGCAAACACTGTTTCTTCCCTTCCTTCTGTTACTATGAGACCAGGGCTGGTTTTTATCCAAGACCCGGGTTTCCTCTCTGTGCTCCACATCCTGTCGCCTCCTGCCTCTTGAGTGACGGTATTTTCTTAGCTCTTCTTTGTCCCATATTTACAACTTCTTTTTCTTTATTGACTTTGTCCCACATGCCTCCTTTTTTCTTCCTTTTCATAAGAAGACTTGTGAAGAGTTTCAACACTGAGCTGTCTCCTCCTTCCCCCTTGTTCTTCATCTTATTTCAAAATTGTTTCCATACCCCCCGTCATTTCAATGAAACTGCCCTTACTGAGGCCGCTGGTCACTTTCTTTTAACCAAGTCCAACAGGCCTGTTTCATAGGTTTTGTCTAACTTGAATTTACCTTAGGATTTTATACCTTTAACCTTGTCTTCCTTCTTAAAACAGTCTCTTCACCTGACTGATTATATCATAGTATCTTGGACATCCTCTAATTCTGGTTCCTGCTTGGTTTCTTTGGTAACCTCCTTTTCTTCTGCTGCCCCTTGAGCATTGTTTAGCTTGAGGGTTGTGCCCTTGTTCAACTCTTCCTCTCCTCACGTGGGAACTGCCTTGGTGATCCAATCCCAAGCATTCCTGATTTTGCTGTCTAATTAATGTCTCCAGCTCAGACCTATGTTCTCAGCCACCGACATCTACATGCAGGTGTCTCCCATGCATCTCGAACTCAGTGTACAAAACTGAATTCACTATTTCCTCTTATGACACCTGTCCCCCTTCCCTCCTCACCTCTAGATTCTTAAGCCAAGCTGAGGTGTCTTGGGGCATCTTTGGCTTCCCTTTGTCCCATTGATCACGAAGTCCTGATTCTGTTCTGAATAGCCTTCCATTATCACCGCAGCTAGCCTTGTCTGTCCCCAGTTACATCCCACTTGAATTACTCCTACTACTGACCAGTTTCCCTGCTGAGCCTTATTTTCCCTCCTGTCATTTATTCCAGACTCTCTTCCTGCTTTTCTCTTTTTTAGTGCCGGTCCCGCCTTCGTTTCTGGCTTCATCTCCTGCCCTCCTCATTGGCTCTGCCCTGTGTCTGTTCTGACCTTCAGGTCTGCAGCTCCATCTGCTCTTACTCGCGTCCAGGCTTCCACAGCCTGTCCCTCTACATAGAAAGGAACATTCTTCCTCCTTCACTTGATCTTCCTTCCCCCTTCTTTCACTTCACCTCTGCCTGCTCGTCCCTCAGATCTCGACTGAGATACCGCTTCTTCTCGGAAGTCTCCCCTGACCCTCGTGGACCATGGTGCGGGCTCCCTGGTCTGTGCCCCTCAGTACTGAGAGTGCTGGGCGCTGGTGTGGTCCCGTCTGTGAGGCGGCAATGAGCTCTGTGGGGACAGGACTCAGCGCCTCACACAGCATCTGCTCGCGGTAGGACATCTCCAACCGAATCACTGCGCAGATTGTGTTCTTCCAGCTGAGATTAAGTCAGTTCTCTCTGGAAACCTGTGTCAGTGCCTGTAGGCTCCTAGACTTGTTATCTAGTAAGTAGTTTCCTCGGATCCTCTGTCACTTTGTTTATGTACTGTATTGTTTTGTTACTATTCTCTTTTCTTTCTCTTCTTCCTTCTTCTCCTTCCTTATTCCTCTGCGTCTTTTTCCTCCTCTTCTTCACCCTCTCCTTAGACTTTCTGTTCCTTTTCTGCTTTTTCTCCTGTTCTTCACTTCCTTCCTCTTCTTCCTGGTTCTCCTCTTCTACCACCACCACCCCCTTCCTTTCCTTCCCCACCTCTTACTCCATTCCTGGAAGAGAGGGCCACATCCCACTCAGAGTTCTAGTTTTATACCCGGTTAGGGACACACAGGGGCTCGTTTGAGTGTATGTGTGTGTATGTGACCCTTTAATTCCTCTGTCTCTCCAGCAGAAATATGGCCAAGCTGTTTGCTTTCTTTCAAATTTAAGCTATAGTTTAAAAGTTTATTTTGGAACATTTTTAGTGAGAACCTCCTCTGCTCCAGATGCCATATTATATACTCTGGTCATTTTCCAATGTTGTATTTAATGATGAGAAGCGTCACTAAATTAAATGACATTACACTGATAGAACGTTTATAGAGTAGAAAACTTATTCTGAGGGTATAATCCTTGGGGCCACTCAGTTCATATTAAGTGCAGATTATTAAGTTAATTTAAATTCTTATGCAGATATTAAGGGTGAGTGAAAAGATTAAATGAAAATGTCTTATTTTCACTTTTGTAAAAATTTGTCAGTGAGCATGTAATTAATGAAATTGGTAACTGGAAATCATATGAAAATCTATGTACCTGATAAATTTATTTGACTTAGTAATACTAATTCATTATTGAAAAAGCAAATGAATCCAAGAAAACTTGATATACAGACTTTTAAATAAACCTGTCAAAGTCACTAAATAAGTGGATCAAAATTAAAATTTTCAAATGTAAGTGATTTTTAATAAGATACATATAATTAATCTTGAAAGCATACTTTTGTATTTTATGTAGGAAAGTTGGTACATAGTAGGTGTTTAGTACATTATTACTGAAAAATATATTGACTAATTATTGTTGTATTTTGTGTAAATGTAATATTAATTAGAAATGACCAAGCGAATATACTTCTGGTTTAATGTTGATCAGAATACTGCGAGGTATAGGAGAAATTCTTACGGACCAAGAGCTACCAAGAGAAGGGCAGACATCCTAGAATGATGAAATAATTAGATATTATATAAAAGGGAAAAAAAGGGTTTCTGTGTACTGCCATTGCCAGTAAGTAAAATATAGTTTATTTTAGAACTTATCATTTTATAGGTCTTGCTACTATGTAAACCCAGTAATTACTAAAACACTTTTTTTCCTTCCATGGAAACAGGTTTCTTATTTTTGCCTGGTTTTATTCTTATCTTTGACCCAGATTGCTTCAATTTTTAGGACTTCTTTCTTTCAATAATATGTTTTTCAAGAAAATTTTAATTAGTTATAGTCATAGAGGTTAAGTATAAACCTTCCCTCACAATCCTGCTCTCCCAATAAATCATATTATTTTAATCTTTCCATGTTTTCTTCTTTTTTGGATAAATATGTAAACATTTTAATTTTGTTGTATATTTTTTTCAGTTTGTTTCCTGTTAGATAAAGTTGATAAAGTTAAAGGTTTTCCTGAATGTAGCCTTTTCTTTTTAGTTTCTTTTGGGATAGCTGCCTGTGGTAGGCAGAGTTCCTAAAATAGCCCTCAAAGTTGTCAGTCTCTGGAATCTGTGAATATGGTAAGATGTTACTCCCTTAATTATATTATTTTATACAGCACAATTACTTTAAGTAGGAAGATTATCCTGAATTTCCCATGCAGGTCCATGGTAATTACACGAGCCCTTAAGAGCAAGGAGTTTTCTCTGGCTGGTGGCAGAAGTCAGAGGCTGGGATTGTGAGAGGAACTGATATACTATTGCTGGTTTGAAGATGGAGGTAAGAGGGCAGGTGAAAAGGAATGCGGTTGGCTTCTAGTTGCAGAGAGCAGTCCCTGCTTGACATCCAGCAAGTTAAGGGGGACCTCAGACCTGCAACTGCAAAGAACTGAATTTGAGGGGATTCTCCTTTAGAACCTTCAGATCAAAGCCCAGCCTGGCCAGCACCTTGATTTCAGCCTTGTCAGGCCATAAGCAGAGAACCTAGCCATGCTGTGCCTGGATTCCTGACCCATGGAAACTGTGAGATAATAAATTTACACTCTTTTAAGCCTTTAGGTTTATAATAATTTGTTACGTGACAGTAAAAACCTAATATACAGGATAACAGGCTTTAAGCAATTTTAGTTTCCATGGTTTTTTATATTGACTGGGTCCAGTTGAAGTTTTACTTCATTCTTCGGATTCTGAATCAGCACAGAACTTCTTTTGCGGGCCACTGTTCTATTCTGCTCGGTCCAGGTCCCCAAGAGTTAGCAGTTGACAAATGTGAGCTGCCAAGTACCTGCAGAGCCCAGAGAGAACAAATACCGTCTGGAGGGGACCTCTTACGTTCTTGTTCATGCATCTGTGGTTTCTTTTGCTCTTCATCTTTACATCAAGGAATAAGTGATACAATCTTCATTTTACTGTTGAGAAACTAAGTCCTACAATACTGTGTGGAGAAATTGGCCTCAGGCGCCTTCTAGGAATGGTGGAGGAAGAATTCGACCCCACGTATTTGTGACTTAAAAATCATATCTTTTGAAATGCTTTTAGAATAGCTGGAAAAGTCTATAATAACCTTATTCTGATTCTGCTTAAAACCTTTGAGGCATGTGTATGTTCTTGTTTCGGAATGTTAGCTCATTTTTGAAACGTGGTCAGCTGTGTAACTCCCAGGGAATTAGTAACAGAATCTGCTGTGTACGTTAATTTCCTCACAGAGTAGACTGAGAGTTTTAGAATGGAACTGAGAAAATAGGATTCATCTTATATGCAAGCAGTTTATTCCTTTAGTTAATGAGACCCGAAATAATATTTAGTAAATATGAAGAAAGTACGTAACCGCCCTCTAAACAGTAGGTCTTCGTTGGGACTGCGCTCCTTTGTCTTGTGCCTGGCTATGCCTGGCTAGTCCTTAAGTCATCTGTAAGGAGCATCGTAGAAGAAAGCCTCTTTTAACACCACATTTGTGAATGGGCAAAGGGAAAGGAGCAGAGTCCTGGAATTTCATAATAGACTTAGAATCACAGGCATAGAAGTTTTTAAGGTATAAGTTCTTTGAGAAGTATTATTCATTTGGTATCTAACCAGATGTGTTCTGCATAAATTTGTTGAACTGCTCTAGACCAAATTGAGTTGTAGGGTGTTCTTAAGAATTTTACCATTTGTTCCTAAGTATCTTATCCTGAGTTTTTGGTTTGAGAGAATTTCCTTTCCAGTTTTTAAAGGTGTTATATAGCAAGGCAGGGGTGTGTCTAATCCCTTTCTGTTGCTTATGAGATCAGAGGGCATTTATCATTCTGATGCAACGTGATAATCCCCAGACATGCTTCTTGCTTGCCCTTGTAACTATAAAAGTCTCAAATCTGCTCTCATGCTGTATGAAATTTCAAAATAATTATGAATAAAAATAAAACAATTCAGAATATGCCTTGAAAAGCTATATGTGATCCCCAGTAACTCTGATTGACACCCCTGCCAGCGGAGTCTCCGCAGGCTCCCCAGCTTTGGCACTGTTGACATTCCAGGTGGATGATTCTGTTACAGGAGACAGTCCTGTGCAGCATCCCTGGCGTCTTCTGCTAGGTGCTGATAATACCTCCTGAGTCGTGACAGCCACAAATGTCCCCAGACATTGCCAGATGTCCTCTAGAGGGCAAAATTGCCTCTGGTTGGGAACCAGTGATCCAGTCTATCACTGTGTAAATCAGTATAGCCAGCCTTTCATTGATGAGTGTGTGGTAACTTTGACTTTGAACACTTTTGTTTTATAAAGGACCTCCTGGCATGAGGTATGTAAGTCTCCCCAACAAGACTGTAAACCTTTAAGAAAGGGGATGCTTTCTTTTTGTACACACAGTGTCTGACACAGTGCTGGATACTTAATGGAGCCTAAACGTGTACGAGTCTGATTAATATAATCGCGCATATTTTCCCAAAAGTGGTATTTCAGTTTAGTTTATACAGTCACACTAATCTGTTGTGTAAACTAATTACAACTTCATGTAGGTTTATATTAAGATTTTAGATTCATTTTGCAAATGTTCTGCAAGGATTTATTTGACGTTATGGTATAAGATCTGGTTTTTTCTCTCAAATAATTTGAAAACGCAACAGTGGATTTCTTTTGCGAGCCACGATTTCCAAATGTAAAGCTGCATTTTGAACCACGAAGGAATTATTCTGAGGCGTGTGTTCAAATTTCAGCTTACAGTGAAATTCTATAGCTAACTAGACCTTTAAAAATAAAAGGCTATAGAAAGAATGCATGGATATAAACTTGGCATTGGCAACTGGAAGGAACCACTGAAATAACTTTCTTTAGCACAAGGAACATCTGCTTCAACATCATGCTGTTTCTTGGTTTCCCTCAAAATCTCTTTAAAGCATTTTATGAAACCTGCTTTGTCTGTATCTTTAACATATTTATATATTTCTTTGTCACTCATTATCTTCTTAAGGCTATATTCGAATATGTTAAAAATTTACTTTTACTGGTAACTGATAAATATGGTTTGCAGAAAAGCTACTGTGGAGCAGTTTCAAGGGATTCTCATGTCTCTTTACCCCTAAGCAGCAGAAGCCAGATTTATATATTATGCCATGATATACTTGGGTTTATTTTCTGTTTAGTGTGAGTTTCTAGGCCCAGTACATTAAATTTTAAGATCTCTAAGTAACTTCAATTTCCAAAAAGGGATCAAGATACCTATTCTAAAAAAGGATATCATAAAAGGCTTTATGACTGTGTTTACAATATTTTTTAATTATTAAATTTTATTAAGTTTCAGTCTATAGTGCTTTTAATCCTTCATATGGATTTTTATGATATGTGAGTAAACTTTTCCAAAGCCTTGCAAATATTGAGGTTCTTTTCTCTTTAAAGGTCCTTTCTCGTGGAGATGTTATTCGTGTGAAGATCCTTGGGATTTTGGCTCTTATTGATCAGGGTGAAACAGATTGGAAATTAATTGCTATCAATGTAAATGATCCCGAAGCCTCAAAGTTTCATGGTAAGTCTGTAACTTTCCAGAAACAGAAGTAAGTCAGTGTGTCATTGGAATTCTTAGAATTTAAAAGAGGCTTGTGTAAAGCACAATGTATATATTGGGACTTGAATTTATATGTTTCATTTTTTTATTCTTGCTCTTTGGAATATAAAGGGCAGTCCAATATGATTGTGTCTAAGTTGTTCCTCCTCATGTTGCTAGGAGGAATGAGAGAAAGAAAGGAATGTGGACGGACAAATGATACTTCAGATTACGAAAGTACTTCCTATGGGGTTCCTTCTTCCTCCCATCTTCCCTTTCTCCCTTCCTTCTTTTTCTTAAATCTCTCTTTTATTTGAGTACCAGGAAAAAAACTAAAGAAGGGGAGTGTTCATCAAGGACATAAGCTGTTTCTATACCTAGTTTTTGTTCTGTCTTGTACAAAGGAAGGGAAAGATAATTGCCCTCTCTCTAACAAAGTTTTGATGTCCCAGAATTTAAGTTGCAGGAAGAGCTTGGTATGATGAAGAGTTGACTTCCTCTGGAGTCACAGACTTCAGCTTGCCATCTGGCTGTGCTGCTTCCTACTGAGTGACTTTGGGTAGATCATTTAACTTCTCTGAATTTCAGTTTGCTCATCTGTTCGTGGAGGTAATTATACTTACTTGTGAGGTTGTTGACAGTATATGAGATTTACTTAAAGCATCTGGCTGTCACATATCGAGCGTTGAATATATGGCCACTGTTATTATTCTTTGACCAATTATTCCCCCTGTTTTTCTAGCCTTTTTCCTTTCAGGCTTATCCTTATTCAGGATCTTTGTTTTTTCCTAGACCTCCATTCTTATCCCAACTGGAAATATACCGTTTCTGAATTGACTAACACTCATTAACTCATGTTTTAACCTCTCTTAATTTCTGTGTGTTTGAAACCTTTTCCTGCACATGGAACAGCAAGAGTGATTTTATGCCGGTCTTGCTTGTAATTGAGAAAGGAAGGGGTCTGACAGGGTGAAGTACAAATAGCCTCAGGGTCAAAACTAAAACTTGAAAACCGCAATTAAAATATGAGATTGAGCCTATAATATGTACATAATAATGTCTACTAGGACAGCACCATATATATTTGTTATCTGTCCATTATTTTACCCTGGGTTTCTTTATTATCATATTTCTCTTATATATATGTAACAAAAATAAATAAATACCAAGTTTAAAAATTTTTAATACATTAGCTGCTCCTCAAATGAGAACTGATAATATAATGCTGCCACAGCCAGCAAAAGCAGATCATCCAGCTGATTCATTTGTGATGTGTCACACTAAGGTCATGACACTCTACTGAGAGCTGTCCCTTTAAACTGGAGAGGCTGAGGATGAAACTAGTCTATAGCCCAGTACTGTTGGCGATGTGATTAATATTTTAAACTCCCTAACATATGCCAAACACTGGTGCCTGTCCTAGTACACATTATTATTCTTAATTTAGAAGAATCTCAAAGGATTTAAATAATTTGCCCAAGTCTGCACGTTTAACAAGTAGTAGAACTATGATTTGAACTCATTTCGATGTGATTATCATCCATGGTCCATACTATACTGAGCACTTCATTTTTGTAGTAATTTGCAGTATTTGTAACTAGCAGTTTTGAAACCAGATTTCACAGGCTAAGTACCTTACTTCTTCTAGAGTTTCTTAAGGATTAGAATGAAGCATTTTAATTCTGTTTTCACCTTATTTCTGTTTGCACCCAGAATGGAGATGACTTTGTACTTTGGGCAACATCTTCTAAATTCTTGTTGTGTAGACTTGAACAGAAAGGCATGCAGAAACGCTGAGGCCTATTAAGGTTGAGAGGAAATTATCAAACTAGAGTAATTAAGATAAGAAATGCTTGTTTTGAAGGAAAAAAAGATCTTTCTTTCATTATATTAAAAAGTGAATACATATATTATCTTCATCTTAAATACAACAATGCTTCATAATGTTTTTAAAATCTTTAAAGACTAGGTGAGTATTATTGACATATGCTCTAAAATGGTAGCTGACATCGTGCTCTGTGTTTATTTCCAGGGTGAATGAGGTATACAGGGGGGAATGGAAGCTGTTTACACCAAGGATGTTTGCATATTGTTCACACTGGATAGCACCAGTACCTGAAGAGCTCTTATGTATCTAGATTTTGTAAAGTACATTCTGTAGTTTTAAGAGTTATGAGTGTTTTCTTTTATGACTTCTCATTCCTTTTACCTGCATGTTACCGTAATATATTCCACATTTCTTCTCTTTTCTCTCTTATTTTATAGTGACCCAAGAAAAAACTGTAGGCGCAAATTGAAAGACTGAAGAGATTGCAGTATAAATGTTTTTTTTAATCCTAAATCATAGAATACTAGGTAACCTGTGAATCAGCATTTATTTTTTAGCAGTCAGTTGTGGTTTCGTTGTAGTCACGAGGAGAGGCCAGTTCGTGGTCCTAGTACTCTGCCATCTTCGCAGCTTTTATTTTCAATTTAAGCTCAAGTTTTGGCTTATATTTATTCTATCTCTCTAACATCACCCAGCTATTTTCTCACACGATTTCAGACAAAAGACAGAGTTTCTGTTGTCCTGCTGCTCAAGCAAATATTAATGGGCGGACATCATTCCTCGTCTTCCCTTTTCTTCTTCACTGCTTAGCCTAGTGCGCTGTCTGTGCTTTATCAGCACCTCTAAAGGGGGCTTTGAGGGGCTGAGAGACGCTCGGGCATTATGAGAGTTGAAAGCATCCTAAATTTGTGAAGGAATTTTCACAAAATCAGTTTATGTGACTTGATTACTCTATTTAATAGCTTTATCTTGTATCATCATAATTCATCTTCTAAAGGTGCTTAACTTATAACTTGGGGGGAGCTGAAGCATTGTAAGTATGTGGCATATTTTAGAGAATGTTACAGGTTAAAACCACTTGAGCTATAGCTTTCCCTGTCTGGTCTTTAAATAAATTAAAACTGTCTGTTGTCCTGTAATAACTATTGCCTGTTCAGCGACTTTCAAGGTTTAAAAAATTGAAAAACAAAAATTGAAATCAGAACAATTATATTGATGTAGATACATTCTGGGATGAATAAATTACATGAGTAATAAGGGAATTCTGTACAATGAAGCAGTTGGAACTTTTTCAAAGACAGGCATTACACTTGTCCTGAAATAATCAGAATTTATATGTATTTCATATATGTAGAATTTGAACTTACATTTAGAGAAATTACCATAAAGGTCAAATAAAACTATGTAGTTTCTTTTATTTTCTTTCAAGGCAGGAATAAACACATGGAAACCGAATCTATTTGACTTAAATTTTCATGTACTATAAACACTTCAAGTGTTCCTGCAATTGTTATTTTAAAAATAAGCCCTATTCATATGGCATTTGATTTCTTTACTTCCTAAAATACAAGTTAATATTGTCATTTATGGAAAAAAATAGGGAATAGCATAGTACTCTTAAGGGAAAATATGCTCATGTTAACTTTTGTAACCGGAAAGAACAGAGTTCAGTTTGGTTTCCTTTGCATGTACTCTTTGGCTCAGAAAGGGGCTGGCATGTCACCATCATTATCCTAAAAGCTCTGACATTTCTGGAGCAATTATTGCATGTCTAGGAACTGTGCTGGATACTTCTTTTGGAGTATCTGTTTAATGTTTACCCAAGTCCAAGCAAGGTGTGCTAGTGTTCCCTTCTTTTTCTTCAGATTAGGAAACTGAGGCACTGGTGGGGGCAGTTGGTGACTTCTCTAAAGTCACATGGGAGCTACTGGAATCCAGTTGGGCTCTTCACCATTGCATCGCACTTCCCCTCTGAAAAATACTTGTGGCCTCAGACAGAATTGCTTTCTGGGAGTACTGACCACTTGCTCTTAAATAATTTACGCATCAGTGGGATAATTATGATTAGAAGACCCAGTAAAAAGATGGCTCTTTTGATCTTCATTCCTTTGATTTCATCAATGAGTGTGGCTTAATAGGCAGGGTGTATAGGGATGGGGTGTGGAGGAGGCAGTTGAAGAATAGGGACAAATCAAGTAAAATGTCCTATAATTAAGAAGATTAAATTAAATTACTGGGAGTCTTTTGCCTCTTTTTTGAACCTTGACCTCTTCCAGTGTTTTTTCACCTTTCTGTCATATTCCTACAATATGGCGAAGAGTAAGGGAAGCCTAAATAAGACCGTCTCTCGTGTGTACTAGTTATCTGACCTGGGAAAACTCACATAACCTCTCGAAGCTTTAGTTTCTGCATCTCTGAAGTTGTGGGGTTGATCCTCTAATGAGTAGATGATTCCTAGACTTCTCTAAATTTTGGTTGTTTTAGGGAGTATTTTAATCCATTACTTTTAGCCTGTCTTCTTCTAAAGTAGAAAGACCTAAAATATCTTCAAAGTTAGTGCTGAAGGCACAATTTAAATTAAAGGATCATGGGCTAGATTTCTTGGGGACATTGGCACATTTTTAGGTACTTTAGGGAAGCTGTTAAGTGATGGAGCTGAAATTTCAGTGAAGGTCTCCTGACCCAAAGCCTAAAATTTTAGCCACTTGGTTGTATGTTTCCAATTAAAATTAGATTAGAAAACCATTTGGATTTCTATGTACAAGGCACCCGGACGGTTTTCATTTTATTGGTCACATAAAATTTCCCATGAAGTGGTAATGAATATTTATATTTCAGGAAAGAAATCTACCAAGTCTTTTCTAAGAAGTTTTTCTGATATAATACAAATAGGCTTCTATATAGAATTGTTCTGTTCGATTTTAACTTTGAAGTCTGTTAATTTCCATTTGTCATGATGTTAGAATATATTTTCAATACAGGTATTGATAAGAGTAGAATTTGTAGAAAAGGAGAATGGAGAAGGGAAAGGCAACTAAAATGAAGGATTCTGTTCACTAGTCTGTGTGCTCTTAAGCACCGGAATACAGAACAGCATGGAAGACATAGAACCTTTTAGTACTTCCGAGGAAGTGCAACTATTAAAACACTTCTC